AAGATTTATTATATTCAGAGTTGACTATATATATTTTATTATATTTGTTGAATTAACTAAGTTCAAAAAACAATATTATGTATTTAACAAATCAAATAAACTTATAATTATTATGTATTACAAAAAAGAATATAACAAAAATAAAACTATATTTAAATTTAATATTGAAATAAAGCAACTTTAGGATTAATTATCTAAAAAGGATTAACTTTTAAAAGTAAAGCCAAGTAAAATAATTAAATCTTTAAAATATCTAGCTTTAAAAGTTATATTGATCAAATAAATAAGAAAATAATAAAGAAATTAGCATGTTATTTTATAAAATATAATTCAAGTAAAGATAAAAGTATTTGTATAACAGATATAATAGAAAAATACTTATTTTGATATTTAATTCTTTGCTTTAGTTATAAATAGTTGAATGATCTAATATATTATAATAATTTGAGCAATTGTTATAAAACTACTATTGCATAATATTTACCAAAAAATTTAATCAATAACAATAAGAATTTTTAGCATTTATTATATATCAACATATACAATATAATTATCTATTAATATTTATTAACAATATGGATGAAATATCTATAATATTTAATTTTTCAAGTAATACTACAATTAATGAATTAGGTGCTCGATCTATTATTATTCATATAATAGGACATGAAAAAACTAATTTTATCTTAGTATTAGCTTGTATGATTACAAAATAAAACTCTCTTCTACTATAATCTTTAAGCTCAAAATATTTTACAGAGTAATTTTTTATTAGAAGTAATTATTTGAACTAATTCAACAAAATGAATAAATGAAGAGGAAATATTCTATTGAATCAAAAATATTTGAATTAAATATGCTTTACTTTCTAATTATAATTTTTATTTGTTTTAGATTCATTTTCAGCATATATAGTCAATTCTATAAAATATTATTTTAATAAAAAAAGAACTAATCTAGCTATTATATATATATATTTATTTATTTAAATTTTTATTTATTTTTTTAATGTATAGATGTGATAGTATTATAATAAGTGGATGACTGAATCAATAAAAGAACTAACACCTGCTGGCAAAATCAAAAAGTCATCTTATGAGACTGTTATAGCTTGAGTTGGTGCTTTGTAAAATGCAGTTAATATTGGATTAATTTAAATATTATGATATTTCTAATAATTATAAAAGTCTTGAAATCTCAAATTAGATAAATAATAACGTATATATATCGGAAAACAATAGTGAAAATATAGAAAAAATCGAACTTAATGGTAATATCAAGGATAATTATTATAATAAACATGAAATGAATTATTCAAATGTATGAAATGATTAAAGGAATAGATTATAATTTAAGTATTAAATAAATTTAGAAAAGAAATATCGCATAGTTTTGAAAAAAATAAACTATATAGCTTTAAAAAAAAGATTTTATAATATTAGTAAAAGCTTATCTTTTTTCATTATTCGTATTTACTAACAGAAGTCTTGAATTTAAGAACATTTTGAAAAATACAAAGTACTATATATATGTATAAGATTATAAATCATGATATATGTAAATTCATTTCATTTAAAAATAGCCTATCATATATGTGTTTATCTAAGATTGTTTAAAATGATTAGTACCAGGATATTATTCAAAAATATTTCCATTCAGAGTTGAATAATATCCCCATACTATACAAGAGGGATACTTTACCAGGGGGTACTGTAGTAAGTGTTATATGATATATAATAAGTTTATTGTAATAAAAAAAACAACCTATTTCAACTATTCTTTTTCTTTTCTAGATTTGCTGGAACTACTAGAACCCACTTGAATAAAAAAATAAATCAAAAATTACTCAAATGTTACTATGTGTGTAGACATGTATGTGTAGTCATTTCAGTATTGGTATGTCCAAGGAATTTTTAGTGTAACTTGCGGCGAACCAGTTAGAAATTCAATATCGCGCGTTACGTAGTTTTTTTAAGTGATAAGTACATGTACATTAAATAATATAACAATAATTATAACAATGAATAATTTAGATTTCTCATTTTTTTCATTATAGTTGATGTAATTATTGTAGCATAAGATTGTTTTCGCTTTGCCTTATTTTCGGGTGAAGGAGGAATTGTACTTGTTGACTCAAAAAGAAGTTTTCGGGTTGGGGAAGGATGAAGATATTGGTGAATTATAATTTGCTTACCATTGTTCTAACGCTAATTTTTTTTTGATGCTAACAAATTAAAAAAATATTTTTTTTTATCTCTTTAATGTTATTATTTTCTCTTAATTCAATAAACATTAAATCATTCTTTCCCCTTTTATTTGCTTCTTCCGACACGTGTTCAATAGGACGTTTACTGTTCGTTTTATACTCTTCGAAATCTAGTTTTTGTTAAAACTTAGAAATAGCATAATCTTTTAAATTCGTCGTTGTTAATGAGAAAAAAACTTACGCTGTGTTTGGGCATCTTTTACAAACTCTTGTGAGATACCTGTATAAAATAAAAGTTGTGGTATCGGTATAGCTAGTAAATTTTACCTTCATTTGCTTCATTTGGAACATACAAACTGACACTTGTAGATTCAGCATCGACATTAATACATGTATCTATATCATATTCAATAGTCACATATTCTAGAGTTGTATGCAAATAAATATTTTAATATATTTTAATAGGAGTAATATAGCAAGCGATTTTACCTTCGTTTGGAACATACAAACATACGCTTGTTGAGCCTAAACATTCGATACAATTTTGTAATTAATGTGAAATGTCAATATAATTTATAATTAGAAATAAAAAATACCTGCGCCTGTAGCATTTGAAATTGATTTTTTAGTAAAGATTCGACTGGTGTAAACTGTATTGGAGTGGATTTGTTGTTTTTGTTCATATTTGTTGGAATGATTTTTTGCACTTTCGTCTCCTCATCTAATCTCTGCTTTTCTAGTTTAACACACTATGATTTCTCTATCTGTTTTATGATGTTCTACCGAGCTGTAGTACTGAAAATGTAAAGTATTCAGTTTGTCTCCTGGATAGAGTGAAAATCTGATAAAGTCTTCAAGTTCCTTAGTAGTTGGTCTGTTTTCTGGAATAGGATCCCAACATTTTTCAATAATAAACTTGAATCATTATTTGGTACTGTAGGTCATATCCCTTTATAGATGTCAATAACAAGACCTAGATCAGTACGTAATCATCCCGAAACTATAAATGTCTGCAGCTTTAGTGTATGGTTTCCATTTAGTACCTCCGGACTCATATAAGGAAGTACTCCGTAAATTTCTTGATTATATTTATTTGTATCTGATGGTTTGGTAAGTCCAAAGTCGGCAATATGAGCATTAACATCCAATAATATATTTCCAGTGTGAAAATCACGCACAAATTCCTTATCGTGAATTTTATTCAACCCTTCAGTAATGCGTATTAAATATGCTAATTTATTTTTCCAAGTCAATGTTTCGTCATATACATGTATTTGCGTAGATCTCCACCTTCTGCATAACGATAATCCATCACTATCGAGATAATAACCAGTGCACTTTAGAGCAGTCAGAAGCTAATTTTGAAAAAGTTAATAGATTGAAAAACAAAAAAGCAATATGCCTACACTTAAAGGTGTTCATTTTACCTCGTTTATAAACTCGGGAGTAATTTGCTTTGAATTGTGTAATGATTTCAACACAATTTCCCTTTTTTCATCTCGTATAAATTTATTTTCTACATGATCCCACCGATCCAATGACTCGTCCAACTATGTTGCTTTATAAATTGAACAAAACCTCCTTGCGCAAGATATTCAACATTGGTAGGTCTTTCAAAAGGGATCCACTCAAATACTTTATCATTTACATCGACACTAATACTATTGCATTCATTTATTAGACTGTCGATATCTTTATTTCCACTAGACCATCCAACATAAATTCGTTTGTGATATCGAAAACATCCACCACACCACTTGTTTTCTTGACAATCGGTACATTTACTACCATCATGAGTATTGTGAACTGAACACTCATCGCAATACGTACTTATAATAGCTACAATCCCAGCAGTTCTTACTACAATCATGAATGTTATGAACTGAACACGCTGATCGTTCTGACAAGTAAAGCAGCCACATTAGATGCCATTTTTGAGTGCATTAGTGATGATGGCAGTGTTTTATGTCCAAAACGAAGATTTATATGTGGTGGAGTGGAAGTCGTCGTTCACATGTGTTTGTCAAACGATTGATGCATGAAATGAAGAAGAGTAAAAATACCCACACTATATACATGTATATGAAAACTAACGCTTTTACACTTTAGAATAAATACGTACTGTTCTATTTCGAGATCTTTTTAGCAGAAACGCCAAAACAATGAGCATGATACGTACATATACGTACGTATTATGAAAAAGGATGAACAAAGAAATGGCAGAGCATTACCGTTACGTGATATTGAATGTCTAATTGGTTCGCCGTAACGATACCGAAATGCCTACATACGTACATACATGCGAACGTACACATATGCATACGTGTAACATTCGAATAATTTTTATTTTTTTTTACATGTATTTATTTTATAATAAGAAAATACATTCCAAGCATGTCAAGAAATACAGGAGAAAATGTGTTACATGTACATATAACAGGCTAAGTTTATCTAAAGAATCATTGAAAAAAATTATCAATGATGTACATGTATTTAATGGAATTTAGAAATACGATTTTATTTTTTTATGTTTATTTTTTTCAATCTCAATATTTTTAACACTTTAACACATTTATCACCACATAATTCCAAAAAAGTTATTCACCTTACATCAGAATCCAGTTTTCAGCGGGTTCTCATTTGCCGTAACATTCAAGTTAGTGTAATATCGAATATCGATATCTAATGTTAATCTTTAATGTTATACAAAAAATCAACTGTGCCGATTTTTTCGCCCACTTGCAATACGTAAAAAGTGGTCTAATATATAAAAAATAAACCTCTATAAGTTGCAATGGCAGAGGCACCAATTGATATTGCAAAATATCTTAGTACAGTCTTTCTGACCCTCCCCAATCCAGTCTCAATTGTACGACTAACAGGAGGAAAAATAAATTACGTTTACCGTGTGTCCTTTGATCAGCCGATTGTGGAGTTTGCGGGTGCGCGTTCGGTAGTGATTAAAATATCGTTGGGGGTGCTGGCCTCTCTCCCTGAAGTGAAATTTGGACTTGAACGACAGGTGCACTTTGCCTCTTCTTTCTTATGTTAACCTTCCAATCTATCTGCTAAAATATTTGATATCTAGACGATCGAAGCACGCGCCATGGCCTTTCTAGCTCCTTCGTCTACAGGGCTTTCCTTGCATCTGAGCTTCCCAAACCCACATCTGCGCGTAATGACACCTGCACTTTATCATCACTCACCTCAGCACAACGTTCTCATTATGCAGGATATGGGCTCGCATCCAGATCTCAATCAGTTTCTTCTGGACTGCATGACAACCCCACAAGAAGCATGTGCTCTAGGCGAACTGCTCGGCAGCTACCTATGTTCTTTTCACATTTTTACAAGAGATCACATCTCTGAGCTGACATCATATTTCACAAACCATGCCGCTCGAACCCTCCTTCTCCAAGGTGTTTTTTACTCTGCTGTCACCCCTCTCATCTCTCGCACGACTCTTCCCGCTTCTCAAATTACCCGGCTGACCAATAAAACGCGGCTTCTCATGACTCAAGGCACACTCGATCCAACAACTTCCACGGAGGTAGTCAGGATGGGGGATCTTTGGCCCGGGGCAGTTCTAATCCCGTCAAATCGGCAGGAGTTGATAGTCCTGGACTGGGAGTTTTGTGACATTGGCAATCCCGCCATCGAGGTGGGCTATTTCACCACTTTTCTCTATTTGCTCGCGAATTTTCCTCCGCCCAGAAAGGGCTCTGTTGAAGGAATGGCAGCTGCT